AATCACTGCATGGTAACAGATTTTGAGAGCATTGCTCCTGACTGTCCTCCCAACCACATGAAAACTCTACAGTTTTGACATCATCTAACTGAGTTAAATGGGTTAGCGGGGGTGTGCGTTCCTGGGGTGTGACAATCCACCTGCTTTGCAGTAGAAATTCAGCAGAACTAGATTAGATCTGTCCGCAGTGACTTTCTGTGGTTCTCCCTGTGTGATCAGAAGTCTGGGCAAAACCTTCTGCAGTTCACCATGGCAGAAAACACATAACTGGGCACAGCTGCAAGTTTTAGCAACACAAATGGTGTATAAATACAGCGTTAGTATGGAAGGAGGAATGTGACTGTAGCTGCTCACATCTGGAAAAACTAATTCATCACTGAAAACATATCCAGAGTTGACTGGTTTATTTCAAAAAACTATGGAGTCATAGCTTTATAAAGGGCAGTATAAAACCTAAATATCTTATCAATTATGAGCAGTGAGTTAAATTCTACAAATAATTGCCATGGTAAACTCATCACTTGGACTCTTCCAATAGAGTCTTTTACATCAGATACTAATTAATTTCTAATTGATCTTTCCAAGAACAACTGTTCAGTGTGACCATAAAGTTCAATGCCCTACCTTCAACATTTCCAACTCTTCAAGCAGAAAATAGCAGGACTTTAGCTAATAGGGCTGAAGACTGGTTTTGTTTATCACCAAACTCCTTAAACAAGGACAACATCGCAACACTCAGAGCGCTACTTAATCTCATGCATTTTACAATCCTACTATAGCTGTTATGCAGTAACCTGGTAAAGACGCTTAAATATCTTTAGCCGGCTTGGCTGCATAGTTAGCAGGGCGTGCAAACAAGGTTCATTTACGGACAGTTCTTTGGCTGTCACACTGGCAATGTCTGTAACAACACACAGGATGGCCCAAAGAGCTGGATCAGGGCAGTGAAACCGTCTGGAACTAAGGACACCACATCCAACTGTATATATTATGACAGGAGGTGCTATTTTGGACTATCTTTAGTCTGATCCCAAGTACCGAACCTCCATTAGCACCTGGAACAAATTAGATGTATTTCTGTAGTGAATATTGCAGTTTAGTTTCATCTAAAAGGCACACGTGGAAAATGGAGAAGCTAATGAGATTTGCTCTGAAAGCTCAACCCCAATCCTAAATAGAACATTCATATAAATGCAGCGTTGTGTTGTAATCGTTTGACTGAAACAGTATTGTATTTCGAGTAACAGTGACTGTGCATAAAGAGCTAGAAAACTAATTACTTTTCATTAGAGCAAAATATTCAATTCAGCAAAGCAAGCAAGGCAGAGGGGGGCACAGCTGCCTCCATTTTACCAAGCCCAGTACTTCCCATGAAGGTGCCAACATTGCATTCAGCTCATGAAACGCACGACAGAAACGCTGACTGCTCTCGGGATGACTGGGTTCCCCGGTGCACGGTCAGAGCCAATTAACTGAACCGGGAGCGCAGGGCACTGCCTAGGCACTACCTTGTTATGGGAAATACTGCCTCGACGGTGGTCTTTTAATGCTTTCAGAGATTCTCTCTCTAGAAGCTTCCTCATGTGCACCCTGTCACTGCTACAACTTAGCATAAATGGTATTAATATTTTCCCAAGGACAGTTGAATCCAAATTGTCTATGAATATTTATTTTCATTAACAGACTCAAGACCCTAAGAGGTCAGTAAAACACAAACATGTGATTAGCTATCTGATTTAGACAGATCGCTTAATACACACATTTTGTATGCCTGCTACATTTTTATCTTGGAGGCTCCAGAAAATGTAATATCCTAAAAGAATATAATATTTCAGTCTTTCAGACAATTATTTTGAATTGATAAATTATATCTAAAGGCTGATTCAGTGTATTTTGTTGTTAACTCAACATTATGTTTGTTAACAATAACTTGAATGACACCTAGTGGAAAGATAAGCAATAGCTGATGATTGCACAGCAACTACGTACAGTTTTGAATACTAAAACCAGCAAGGAGGGAGATTCTTTATGAAAATGGGTAGGAGGAGAAAGAATTATTTGATAAAATGGGTGGAGTACAACTTAGGAGAAGAATTTCCTAAATGACAAGAGTTTATCTGCCTGTGTAATAATCTTCTGAGGAAATGGGATATTTGATTTGACAGAGGCAAAATTAAATCAGGTAAAACCACAATCAAGGTGCAGCAGGAAACAATACAATAAGCAGGATATGGACAGGATGAAAATCAGAGTCCTCCTATGTATAAATACTTTATTAGGCTAGTTCTCTATGGTGCAGTAGATAATAGGAATATTTTTAATAATTTGGCCCTGGGGGACAGTAACTCCTGATGTGAAAGAAACCACAGATTTTCTTTAATTCATTTCTGCAGGCAATATTCCTTGATGCATGAATGACTTTCATGATCGATACCTTTTTTTTCCCTTCTTTTTGCTTATTCACTTATTTGTATAATTCATGAATTACCAGTGACTCATATTCAATTATAAAGAAATATTTTGGTTAGTCTGTTCTCACCAACCTATTTGAAAATATGCAAGAACAGATTTAATCAAGGCAATAACTTAAATGAGAGCACTTTTGCCACCTATTGACTATGTGATGTGGCAAGTTTTTTCAGCATTGGAAATAGAAATAGTGCTCGAGAAGGGCTTCTGTCTTTCTAGGTCAAGAACGGGTCATTGACAGCAATAAAGGACTACAGTTCCTTAAAACCATCTATAAAAAATAATGGCATATTCTGCCTGAATTTCCTCTTTACAGGTCATGTGTTTGATCTGCACATTTATCTTTAACTTGCAGCTTTTATTCTTAACTGCAAGGAAACTAGTAATCTCCCTGCAACTCTCTTTTCTCCCTATATAAGCAATCAGCAGCAGCACCCACCTAACTGACTGAAGAAGTCAAAGCCTCAAAAGAAAACTAATCCAGAGAAAAGTGCTTTTAGAGAGTAAGGTAGCTAGAGAGGTTTTGTTTAGGAATCAAGAGTGTTCAGAAATACCTCTCTGCTGAGGAGCCGGACAGAGCCTCTCCCATTCACAAAAAGTTCAAACAGATTCACTCTGTGGCAAATATATTTTCAGACTATAACAAGATTATAGCAGATTATAACTTCCTTTTTTTTTTTTTTTTTTTTTTTCAAATTGGCTCTTAATAAATCCTCTTAAATGAAGAATCCTCATTTGGCCTACAAAAAGCTATAGCCCTAAAATCATAAATGCAAATGTCTCAAATTCTAAGCTTTGTTTCTGCCAGATACTCCCCGCACACATTCACCTCTACACAGAGCTGAAGAAACTGGCCCACAGTTCTCATCACAAGTAACAGATTTGGGGACTCAGCCTGAGCAGCTGCTTCTCCAACCACGTGTGACGCAGCAGCCAGAGGAACACAAGGACTACCTTTGTGCGGATTATCCATAGCACAGAATTTGAGTATGGATTCCAGAGGATTCCAAAATATTTTGTTTCTGTTTCAATGCAAAAAGATGCAGCATTTGATTTCACCATATAACAGGACATTTTTTATTCTGTGTGGCAGCATTCCTTAAGACATATGGTATAGATTGCATGATACAGGAAACAGGCACGAGAGAAGACATTTATGAAATTTATTGTCTAGTGATGTACTTTCAGAAAAAAAAAAAAAGAAATAATCCCTAAAACAGAAAGATCTTCCCATTATCAGCAGTCCACTCACAGGTCTGGCTATTGAACATCTGCCAGGCAGACGGACCATTCATTTCAATAAGGGAGGAATCACTTTCCCCATCTTATAGAAAAGATCAAAATTCAAACAGGGTTTGAAGTATTTTTGTCTTCTCCCCTCAGCACTGTCTAAATTACTTTTTAAAATGCTAAAGAGCAGAGATACACATTAAGTCATTTTTTTAAGGAAGATCCTAACAAACTTCAGGCTAGTGGTAACTGATAAGACTTAATGAAGAAAAGTACTTTAAATATAAGTAAGAATTAAACAGTAAGAATTACTATTAGAAAAATTTTAAATGTCAGAAATTTCCCTTCCCCCCAAGAACAGCATGTTATAAAGAAACAGCTCAGAAGCACATCTGCAACATCTGAAACTCACCTGGGTTTCATTTCCACATGCAGAACACAGCTCAGAGCCTGTCCCCAAAACAACACACTAAACAAGAACTGGTCTGGGTTTCCAGGCAACACACTGGTTTCCCAAAAGTCAACTGCTATCTTAATTGTACAGTGTTCATATTTGGTAGCTAAAGGAAAGGAAAACTCTCAGGTCACTCTCAGCCTCTTCGCATAAGATAGGTTCTCTAAACCCCTGATCATCACAGAAACCTTCCTTTCACTGGTTGGCTTAATCTTTCTGAACATGGGTGACCAGAATTACATACTGTGTTTTGGGTGACTTTTCACCACTATTTCAATGAAATGGTATTAGTATTTCTCTATCCCTTAATGATTTCATCTGACTAATATAAGTTGATCTCATCTGATTAAAATAAGTTATTTCAATGCTACGGTGTGTTTTTACAAATTTTACTTCATCACTGGAAAGGCAGATATCAAAACACCTGGCTTTGACTGAAACAGAACTCCAATTTCATGGGCTAACTTTAGCTCCCTTGTATCTTGCTTGCTCTTGCATGCGTGAGCAGCAGAAGCTCAAACTAGCTTTTATATCTGTAGATTATTACAGCTGAGGAAAAAACCACTAGATTTCAGATGAGTCATTTTAGGTTTTCCAGACATTGTCAGGTTTAATGGGAAAAATACATTATCAATAAAAAAAATTCAAAAGCATTTCCTCTTGTCTGCAGAAAATACAAAAATGCCCCAAGCGCTATATGCTGTGACACGTGTCAACCATTACATAGCATCTTCCAATGGGAACGGTTTCCTATTATGGACAGGAAAAAGCTCATCATCTTTAACATGTTTCCTTACTGACTCTTTAAAAAGTCAGCTCCAGTTGCTATATGTTCTCCAACACTATACCAAGCAGAGGGAAAGGAATCAAGAGGGAATAAATAAGGGTAAGTGTCAGTCTGGCATCTCACCAACTGTTCCTTTCTATATTTTTTCTATATTATTTCTATTTGATTCAGAATTCCTTGCTGTTTATATATTAAATCAGAAGAGATCGTCTTTTGTATAGATTGTGCTTAACTTCTTTTTAGTCAGACATAGTCTATCCTTTTAAGATGTCTAGTTTGAAAAAAAAGATCTAGAAATTTCTTGAAAAATAACAGATGAGTATCTAGATTCACACCAAAGATACTCAAACTGTTTGCTAACAAAGACATAGGAGATTGTTAAGATTAATATTTCAGCTTCTCTGTGATGAAGTTTATAGTTTTACGTAGCATTAATCCAATTTAAAATACAGGATTAATTAATTAATTCATGTAGTATTTAGGTCAGGAATATAAAGCTGTCTAACTTTATTTTGAAAAGCTAATTACATAATCCTTGTAAGTAAACTGAGGTAAATTAATTTAACACAAAACAAATCCATTTTCAAAAAAAATTTTAGTCTTTATTAAATGAAACTTCCTAGAGAAAAAAAATAGTCTCAGCTTATTTTAAGTGGAAAACCTTTTCTTTTTTGAGTTCTAAAATATCTCTACACTTGAAAACATTATTTTGAAGAAATTTTTTTCCAAATTCTATTTTGCATTGCTATAATTTAAGCTCCTTATTGCCTTAGATGCAAAAACCTCTTTTGCTCTGTATTTGTTGTTGTTAATAAGTTTGTTCTACCTGCTTGCTATTTGTCAGACTTCGTCCAGTCCAATTTTAAAATCATACTCAATGTTCTTCTCATGCTTGTCTGCATACACAACTGTTTTCACCTTCTTCGGTTAAAAAGGAATTTTCTTTAAGTGTATGCTGTATAAAAACCCAACACTTTTTACAGTATGTACCATTGTCCAAGTTGTATCCGAGGCAATATACAGTCAGATATTTTTGCTTCAATACTTACTTATTGCAAATGAATTGGATCTAAAAAAAGAAGAAGATATATTTTATTTACGGGATGTATTAAAATCATAAAGAAAGATGGTTTCAAGATCGGAAATTCCCCAACCTGTGTAGGGAGTTTGTATTTCAAATTCCAATCTGGTCCCAAGGCTAGCTATGTATTTTTAAATGCAGAGAAGTAGTAGGAAATACAGGAAGGGAATAGCTTTAGAGGTTTTTAACTGCCAAGTAGAAGGGACTAAAATGGAAGTCTAGTGGGATCCACTCTATAGAAGTGGGAAATAATAGCAAAAGGGATAATTACCTGCTGGCCCAAAGCATGGTAAAGACAAGAAGTACCAGAGATGCAAAATTTCTAATTCTCTATCTTAGACTATATGTTCTCAGAGATGCATGAATCTACAAAGTGGCAAAAAAGAACTTTTTGCCACATAAAAATATGTACTTCCCAGTTAGAATCTTCATACTCTCAGAAAGAAGATTTTTAGAAATTTACAATTATTCAACCTCTTAAGGTCAATTTTGAAAACCGACTTCATCCCACAATTTTAACACTAGACCTATGAAGATATAGAAACGAAATCAAAATCTTTGCCTAAAACTAACCTAGTTTTTACCATCATCTCCTGGTGACATTCTGTTCCATAACTTTGAACAATATATTTCATACAATTATGAAGGAAAAGCAATGAACAAGAGACAAAATTGAAGCACTGTGCTCTCTCTCAGTTGCATTTATGCTACTTCATGTCAGGAAGAATGGCTCTATGGGAAATACAGAAGGCTAAAATCTTCTTCCAAAAACCTAAACCTCACCACTTATCCTGAGTAAGAAACAGCTATGTTCTAGTTCTGCATTTAGACACATGCTAATGAACCATACTTATCAGATTATTATTCTTATTCTCTGGGTAGCTGAAGCATGAACAAGACAGAGTTCATCACTGTTACAGGATTTGCCATATCGTTGCTGTTCCACACGACCCAAACTGAAGTCTGTCCTCCCTCCTGCAGTTGTAAGCCACTGGGAGAAATGAAGGGTTTGCATATAGACTGCAGCTCGAGGAAGCTGACGGAAGTGCCTGCCTTGCCCGTTAACACCAAGAGGCTTTATCTACAGAATAACAGCCTGACCTCGGTTCCTCCCGGTGCCCTGGACAGCTTGCGCAGCCTGGAGGAAGTGAAAATATTTGACAATCCGTGGAACTGTGACTGTCATATTCTGTATCTAAAACTCTGGTTAGAAGACATCTCTGCACACTCACTTGAAAACATCAGATGCGCAAAGCCAGGTCCCGTGAGGATGAAGCCCTTGAGGCAGCTGACTGGGAACGAGCTGGGGATTTGTAAGAGGCTTCTCCCAATCAAGTGTCTTGAGTTCTTCTGGCGAGACCTCATTTTAATTGCTGGAGCAATAATTACACTTATTTTAGTAGCATGGGCTCTGAAATTCTCAAAAAAGCTGGTCTGCCAAATAAACCTACACCTATATGACTCTAGGGGCCGACTGCTGGGGAGGCATACCTCCAAAAACCACAAGATACTATGAGCTGTTCACTAGCTTGAACAGAAACATCAAGCTATTCTATCACAAAAATGCACATGCAGTGGCAACTCTAGTTTTCATTGTGAACATGCTACAAACAGATCCAAGGGCTCAAAGTCTGGGTCCTCAGATAGGCAAGTTTGTTTTAATTTCCTTTCAAAAATAAGCTTGGTGATGTATCAACAGGCAAGTTTCATTCTGCTGCCATCTACTCATATGAAAAGCAGTTTCTAAATTTTTTAAAATCATTTAACTTAGCATTTTTCCACTGAATTCTCAGCTCTTAGAGCAAGATCTACATCCCCAAATCCTACACTTTTTAATACATGGAGATTGAGATGAACGCCAATTGTACTATTTTAGCAACTCCTCTCCCATTCAGAAGCTGTGTGTCTGCAACCCGTTACCCCCTCACAGTGTCCCAATGGGCTTGGTAGGACCATTCGTGTGTGCAAATAAATTCAACCATCTCTTCTTCAGGTTCAGGAATTTCCTGCCAGAAAACCCACTATGATTATATAGGCCAGACACTGACTGTATCCCTTATTGAAGACATTTGAAGACAGACTGGTAATGAGAATATAATCAGTAAAAATAGTTTTAAATAGTCCTCCTAGAGAGCGAACAACAAAAAAGCTTTCTATGTGTAATTGAAATAATGGATGCTTATTGAACATTCATACTCACCTAGGTTTGATCTCTTTCACTTTTCTACACATTTCTGATTAAAATCCGAAGAAATTTCCAGAGTTTGTCTTCCAGTATTATTACTGTCATTTGATACGTTGGATTTTATGCAACAGCTTTGAAGAGGATGTACTCTCTGCACTTCTCTTCTTGTGCCCCCCATCCTCAGAGAGAAATTGCTGTGGTGACTCAAGCATACAGTTTTCTCCCTAACCTGATAATTCACAAGACTCCAAGAACAGCAATTCATGCTGTGACCCCATCTGGTCTGGTGACGTTAGGCTAGTTAGATGGGAGATCTCTGAAGGTCTTCTACAACTAATACTACTGTTGGCAGTCCAATTTAAGACTCATTTTGCAAATGCTCCTCCTAGCCCCGAACTTGAGCTAGGTATTAAAGGTTACCTGCTGAAGAAGCTAAAGACTGCTTGGCTCTTTACCTAGCACCTTGTCACGAGTGGGGTTCCTTGTTAAAGCACATAATACCCCTGGGCAAAGCTGGTGGTTAGCTTTCTTCTGATAGGTGATTTTGCAATTACCATGCGCTATCACTGCTATAAGATGAGACACATTCCTAGCCACAAACACCCAAATCAAAGACAGCATTTCTAGGTCCCTCTTGCCCCTGCCAAAGCACTTCAGCAATATGGAGTCAAACTGCCAATGCTGACTGCTGGTGACATTCTCAGACAGCTTTAGAAGAGACGTTACTGTCTGGAATGTATCTTCACTGTTGGCCAGCTCTCTCTCCTGCACTAGCGGGGAAAGACCAGTCTGAGACATCACCACCTATCAGCCTAAACTGACACCAATTCAGGATGAGCCACTTGCCCCTCTCTGTGACATGAGGAATGGCCACTGAGCACAGTGGAACTGCTGAAAGAACCTCTAAAGCACAGACAGATTTGGGGAAAGGACATGCACCATGGGTAGAGGGTTACACAATTTACTAACGGAGTATAGCATGGGGCTTTAGACTGACAAAAGGAAAGGAATAGAGTAAGACGTTTTCCCGTGCTGTAAAAGAATTAATGATCTGGGAGACGACATGCCCGTTGTGATGTTAAAGTCGGCAAACGATACACAGTGGGGAGCAAGAAGAGGGAAGGTATAAATGCAGAGTGGTGGGTTACTTGGAGTACAAAGAAATGGAAAGCAAGATCGTACACCTAGAAACAAAAGACGGGTTGAGGACTTAATTCAGAAAAGGCAAATAATCTGGTAAGAGTCATCTCCCATGTATGACATTGCAGCAAAGGGCTAATGTGATCTTTTCTTCTTAAAACAGGGGACAGCATTTAGGGATAGGAGGATTTATTTACTTCCTTGTTTAGATAAGCTACAATAATCTAGTATCAATGTCTACAGATCAAGAAGAATCAGCTGCAGAAGAATCAGAAAGGCAATTATAATGCAAATAAATGACTGGAAAATATATCTTAAAAGGAGCTTGATCAATTTCATTTGATAAAGAGGAATGTAAGGAATGACAAGATCACAACTTGTATGAATCTACATGAAGATAAATTTGTTAACAAAGGGCTGGGGAGTAGAAATTAGAACACCGGTCTACAAACAGGGCTCAAAATCTAACAGCGACAATAATTAAACACAGAAACTGCTCATCAAATGTCATGGTTAATTCTATAGCTTAGCCAATACTGGGCATTTTTCAAATTGGTAGGCACTACCGGAAATGAGAACTATTTGACACCTAAAACATTGCAGCTATTCTTACTGCTTTGGTCACCTGCAAAATTTATGGTGGGACAGGCCATGAAAATAGAGACCACAATGGCAGTGCATCACAGGGACATCCTTAGCGAGCACTGGCAACACCCCTGAGGAACTCAGCCTGTGCCAGCTCAGGCCCCCTCCCACACTCCACAGCAGCAGTAATATTCCACTGTACCTTCTTCAATTGCATATCGCACTCTTCACCATGAGTAACTCAAAGAGCAGCACAGAATTTGCTTTTTTACAAAGTGTCGCATCCCTGCTGCAGGAGATGACCCATATAACCTAGAAACAGCAGGGCTTAGTAAGGCTGCCTTACGCTCCGGTGCAGACCTGAGTAAAATTGTGTCTTCAGATTTATGTGTACTTTTCAATCAGGTGAGCACAAACACTCAGAATTTCTCTGGCTTCATTAAATGTTATTCTACATAAATATCCTCTGCAGGAGAGAATTTCAGAGAAACACATAGCAACATAGCAGTGTACGCACTGAAGATAATTTTAGAATATTTTCGCTACACTCAGCTTTTCAATTTTTTAAAAGGCAACCACCATTTTGTATTAATGCAGAATATTACAGAAGAAATGCACTCTGTGATCTCTCATGGAAGGTTTCCTAAATTATATTTCTTGTTTCCCCAAAATCAAATAAATCATTAACACTAAAAGCTTATTACTCTCTTTCGTGACTGTAAAGCTAGATATGTGTTTTCAATCCTGCCATAAAAAAACAGGCCATGCAACCCAATGAATTTGAATAGTTATAGACCATGGCCTATACTAAAACAACATTCAATATGCAGGTGAAGTGGATGAAGTTATAGCTGTGCATTGGAACACAGTCATCGTAAAAGTTTGCTAGTGTAGATAAAATAGTAAACCGCTTTAATGTATAGCTTTAATTGTACAAACATAAAAACCAAGCAAGTAGCAAACATTTCTGCTTAAACCAACCAACACACTAAATAAGATGCAGAGAATACAGGAGAAAAAAAAAAGTATTTGAGAGAACATGTCCTCTGACCTCCTAAGAGGAAAGAATAGGGAATCTCTTCCATGGCAGTATTTCACATTCCACTAAAAAAGCATTGTATTTATCACTTCTGAACCACTTGGCTTTTATCTGAAAAGAAACTCCACCCCTGAAAAGGGGAAAGTTGGAACTGCTAATTAAAGGCTCAAGAGCAACATTCAACTGTTTATCTGACAAGGCCACTATGTCGTGCTTAAGCCACATACTCCATCAAATTGCATAAATAATGCTGCAGTTGCTAACAATGCACAAAGACAGGAAAATCCATGAGCTATCTAAATGAAACATGCAGCCAGCGTTCCCAAAGGAGTTTGTGAAGATCCCAGAAAGTGTTCCAATATCATGCTTGCAAGAGTGCAAACTAGTGAATATATCTATTTTCACATTCTTTAGTAACATAGGTATAACTTCTGGGATTAACTGCAACTTAAAAAATTGTGAGTTTTGGTTCAATATTTGGCAAGATGAGTAATCATACTCAGAATGATTGAAGAAGACCAGAAAATTAAACAGTTCACTGTAATACACAGAGTAGATTTGTTTAAACTGCAATTCTGTATAAACTGCAATTCAATTAAAAATATTTGCAGGCTTCATTTATTAAACAGAATGGTAGGTGAATCACCTCTTTTCTTGAAATGCTCAAGATTTTCTTCACATCGAAGCAAAAAGAGTTGCTCAATCCGAACAACAACTGTTTAGCTTAATGCTTTCTGTTTGGGATTTACAGTTAGAGTTCATTCCAGATCCACCGTTTGAGTTCATACATGAGAGAAGTTTGCTGCTTTTTGCCGCCTGACACTAATAAATGTACAGCATTGTTTAGAAAATAGCTACCAGTGCTTATGTGAATAAACATCAAGGGAGGCTTAGAGACTAGGCACTTTGTTGGGACCTTACAATCCCATCCCACATCCAAACTACTTCAAATGCTACTGAAGGCAGTGGCAGACCCTTCCTGGGTTTGGGACATGTAATGCCCACGCACAGCTCAAACATGCAGACATTTTATTTCAACAGGTCTTACCACATTTGACTTCCAAGTTTCCCAGTTCCTCCAAACTTAGTGTCGCAGCATCTTGCATCCATGACAAGTATTCTCATGGGTTTGTGTTTCACCTTTTGGCAGCTGGTTTCTAATGTATTTGGATATTTTTTTTTTCACTTTTCCATTAACTCAATACATTAACTGAGGAAAAAAAAAAAATCTTTAGAACGACAGGGTAAGTCCCACTAAAGCAAGTGCAATATACTCAAGTGATGAGTGCCTGAAATTTGACTGTTAAAAATGGTAGCTACAAACATAACGGACCCTTATTAAAGGGTACACAATGTAGGATGGCAGCATGAAACAGAGAGGTGAAAATCACCAGTTTTGCTTTTAAAATAAATAAATATAAAATTTATGAAATATATAAAATAAAATTTAAAAAAATATATCTGTTCTTTATATACAGCAGGCTGCTCAGATATCTTCCCAAAGGCTTAAGTGTCTTACAGGGCCCTCCAATGAAATGTGAAAGAAAAAACAATTTATGCACATATA